GCTCAGGCTAGTCCATATGAAGGGACACCATTTCCATTGTTGCTTTGACTTCACTGGTACAGCTTTTCTTCACTGCATGACAAATGTAGGAGTTGTACCAGGTTGCACACAGATTTGTGTTGGGATTTCAGTTTTTTGGACTCTGACATGCATCAAAGCCATGACATGATGGCATTCTGGGGCCATCACTCAGAGCTCTGAACCACATGTAGTTTGAGACATAAGGAGATGGGAGACATCCCTGAAGGACAGTAAAACCAAAATCAAAGCAGAATAATAGAGAGCCCAGAACACAGAAGAGCAAGAACAAAAGGAGACCAGAAAATGGGGCAGAAATCATCAGTGCTCTCAGAAACAAAAGCACCAGGGACAAAGGCAAACCCCCTGGTGTTGTTCTGTCAGGAAAAGTGGTCAAGGAAATGAGTCAGCCTCATAGCTCTGCATTTCACACGGCTGGGAAGAACTTTCTTTGGCCCTTGTGTGATCTCACCCAGCTTCATGCTGGAAACAATCTAACCATCTCCCTCTGCTTGGGAATTTTTTTTTTTTGACTTTCCACAGACATAACTCATTAAAAATAAGAAAATACTAGGTTTGACTGTGGTGGGTGAAGTGAACAGCTGGAGCACATGTGAAATAGCAGGTCTCTTCTGATCCAGAATGCTTCACCACAGGAGAGCAGCATAATGGAAGCTACTAATACAGTACTTTATTGAAAAGAACCCCCATGCACCATCTGACTGTGTGAATATATGTGCTTTATATGCTTTGGCAATTCTTGCTTATAATCCCACCTACAGTTGACACCAGGCTGATACTTTGGTTATAGACTGGAAAACCACAAATATCATTTGAAATTAAAGGAAGAAATGAACACTTGTTTGCATAACAAAGTCGTTCTACACTGAAGGGAAATCTACTCTACTCCTGGGTCCCAAACGACAGAAAAGTTGCTAAACCAGATAGCACTGTGGTAGGTGCTTAAAGTTCCTGCTATCCTGCAGTTACCTGATGCCAAAATTGCTGAGGCTCTCAAAGATGCCAGAATGCATTGTCACTAGAAGTCAAGTCATTAATGCCAATTTGAACATGCTCTTTAGCAAAAGGACACAATGAAGAGACTCTCATAAAACAAAGCTATTTATCCTGTTAAGCAGAGCTGTCAGAATATGACAGTATCACAGAATAAGGTAACTAATATACTTTTAAAGTTATTCCACAAACCTAGAGGCCCACTTGCAACTACTCTATTTTGACAGCTGTGAACAATCTCAGTGTGGACAGCACAACAGCAGTGAGGCAGCAGTGTCCAGTGTTCAGGGTGGCAGGATAAAATAGATTTCAATGCCACTTCAAACAATAAAGGCAGAGCAGTGATAAATGCCCTTTCCCCCCAGTACTAGCCCATTCCTAATCCTAACAGATATCAGGAACAACAGTGCTCACCCTGTACTACCTCCATCAAACATGATATGTGTTAAAACACTGAAGTTAAAATACAGCTTACAACAGAAGGCAGTGTTTGGTTGTTTCCTTATGTAAGATATTCACTAATCTCATCCTGAGGCTGGCTAGTGGGCATTGTTAGCCTGAAAACTTCCACACTGACTCTTGGGAGTGCAGATCCTGCACGGGTGAGCTGCAAGCAAGTCTCTGCTTGGGCTGCTGTAGGAAATGCAAATCAGCTTTGCACTAGAATCCAGTGGTGTGGGGAACACCAGATTCCTCTCAGTCTGTGCAGTGGGAAAGTCCTGATCCAGTGCTTGACTGTGCCATTGCCTTTCATGAGCAGCAGACGCTGCCATATGTTTTGCTGAAGTACAGGCCCAGAAAACTGTGCTTCCTGGTGCCTCACTCAAAACACAGATTGGTTGATGCTGACATCCCTGCTGGGACCCAGTGGCTACCTCTGTAGGAATGATGAGAGAGCAAAGCTGTTTGGCTTACTTCCCTTGGAAGGGATTTTGTTGAACCTATTACAGCAGGAATTTCAGTAATGACCCCTGCATAAGTACATACACACATACATACATATGACTCATTTTAGCATGAGCTATAGGATGCACCACATTATCTAGTTTTTATGGTTTAGATGAGAAGCAAGATGAAGATTTACACCCTCTACTACATTTGCCACATGAAGTTTAAATCAGCACCCAGGACTGCATGCAGACAAACAGTCAGTGAAAATTCATGTCCAAAACAGCCATGTACATTTAGCCCGAGCTCAAACACTGCAAGCTCTCCTATGAAATAAGTGAAGTAGAAAATTATTCACAGGATCAGTTCTGCAAAACTGCACAGCAAGCATTCTCTGCTTGCAGCAGCTCTCACTGTGAGGCCAAGATCAGCCTCACATTCCCTGAGAGAAGGGGAAGTTTGAGCTGATCCAACCCGGGTTTGGCAAGCTACAGACCTGTGCTGCTCAGCAGCTTTCCAACAGTTGACACCATGCTGTTCACAGCCTAACAGAATCCCACATCACTCCCAGGGAAGGGAAGTTAATAGGAGAAAACTTTCTTTATGATCACAGTTTTACTTTTAAAAGGTTTCAGGAAAGATCTTAATGTCCATTATTCACATGGATTAGAAGCTGTACTGTTATTGCACATCTGTCAGCAAGAGAAAATGCTTCAAAACTGTTTTTAGTAACTCCAGTGTCAGTAACAGCCCAAGGAAGAGCTGGTTCCTGGTTCCTAGCTGCAATTTGCAATACACTGGCTTTTATCAGTGAGCCCTTCTGTCTTCTTACAGCCCCACACCTGTGCCATGACCTCCATAACACAGAACTGAACTGTCTCCATACCATCTGGTAGAAATTTGCTTTCTACTTGTCGCCAGGAATTGTGGGGAGAGGAAAAGCCATGTCACAGTAAAAGTTTTTGCATATACATAGAATAAACCATTACAAGCAATTTCTTCCTTGATCATTCAATTCCTGCAAGCTCTTGGTTAATCAAGTTTCCAGAACATTTGATGTTGCAATAAAGCATTTTGTTGTGAACACTTTCCAAGTGAAAAGAAACAAAAAAACAACAACTGTTAAATAAAACAACTAATACTTCAAAACACCTTATCACACTTAGGTGTGAGTGTTAGGTACAGCCTGACATAGCACAAGTAAGCTAACAAAGCTGTTAGGCAATTGCTTAAATTAAGTAAACTCTTCAGTGCTGTGCTGAACCAAGGCTCACGCTCTCTAATCACTCTCTCAAACACAAGAGTCACATTCTCAGCATCTACTCCAGCACGTACAGTGTCTTTTACAAGAGATCACACATTCCAAGCAGATACAGACATTGATTATTCCCTCTGCCCCCTCTTCCTCCTTTGAGCTGTGAGGTAAGGAGTTAGGGAAGGCTTTACAGACAGGAGAGAAGCATCTTTGAGGGGAGGGAAGGAAGGAAAAAAATAAACCCTGAAAGAAATAAAAAACCCCCACCCTCAAAACCCAAGGGACCTTCAAAGAAGAGGCAATTTGTCTAAAAGAACTGCAGCCTAAGAGCTAAATTAGTACTCTAGAAATGATCTTTGGTTAATGTCTGTCTTTTCCCCTTTGCTTTTTCTGTATTTTGGACAGGTTTAAAAGTAAAAATACTACATTAACACTAAAAGACTGTTACTCTGAGCACTTCCAGCACAAAAGATGCCTGATTTCACAGAGCAGCACCAATCCAAAGACCTGTGTGCTCTGTTGACATTGTTGGTTCAGACCAATTCAGCAGAACAGCCTATTTATCCACTGGGAACCACTTACTTATTTATACTTGAGGCCTTAGCAATTAATGCATGAATGCAATGCAGTTCCACATGGTGCTGACCCCAGCAGAGGCACTGGTAACCCCAGTCACCCCATTTACACCTGCCTTCCAGGTTTGGGATATACAAGCTCTGCCCATTCTGTGGCAGTGCCTCAGCCATAAACTTCATTTCAGGTCTGTGCTGCTCTGGGATATGTGCACAGACACTGATCTATCTGAATGTAACCCCAGTGTATAGTTCCCAACCTGAGGCTCTTCCCACTACACGATACCATCTTGCTTTATCCACCAGACTGCACCATGGAACGTATTTTTACTGAGTTTGAGTACAAAGTGAGTTGACCAGTAGAAAGCTGTGGCTACTCTGAGACCTAAACACATCTTCAGCAATTCTTTTTCTTAAGTTTAAGGAAGGGTAAATAAATGTTAAGAACAAAATTAGGAAAATACTACCCTAATCAATACCTCGTGTTCAGTCACATTCACAGCTCATTAGCAATCCAATACCTACCACTAAGCCATTGCCCAACTTAAAATTGTCAGCTAAGTTTCCCCAATTTTCATTAAAAAAAAAAAATCTTATTTTAATGTGGAACAATCTCAGGCTTTGCAACGCTCATCTTTAATGAGACATTTCCAATCAGTCATGGGCCCTGTTCCAGTCACCCTTTCCTATGTCAGATCAGCTATATCACACTCCAGAGGAAATCTCTCTCCCTGACCATCTCAATTCCAGCTGGAAGGTGTAATCACACTGGAATACCTACACACTGAAAGCAGAATCAAGCTTACCAAATTCTTTTTCTCCCTGTCACAAAAATAAGCTTTATTGCTCTTCCTGTAACTCTGCAGAGACTAATTATTTGCTCAGGTTTACAGGGTGTGAATGGGTTGAGGTTCCGGTGTGGTTAGTGCTATTTTGCCACTGTTTCAAAGAACTCTCTCAAAAGACAGTTTTCCGTCTTCTAGTCTGGCTTTACATTATTATCTTGCAGAGAAAGAAATTATGGAGAGGCAGTTTTGACACTTTGTTAATATATACTAACAGAAAATAACACTAAAGTCCCCCTTTTACCTTGGCTCCTTGATATGAGAGCAGGGTTTGTAAACAATAGTTTGCAACATTCATTTACCTTCCTTGTAAATACAAAGCAACACAGCCATTGACTGCTACTTGATGCCACACAGAGCCAGAAGTTCATCCTACTACAGAGCAGTATCTTCCCAGGGGGCACTTACCACAAAGGGCATTTTCTTCACATCCACTCTGGGCAAATACTCTGCAAGTCTCCATAGCAGAAAAGCATTTCCCACATGAAGGAGGCTCTAATCTGTGTGTTAAAACACTGGGAAACCTTAAAAAAGAAAAAAAAGTTTTAAGAACCCATATAACAACCAAGGGTTACAGTCTGAAAGTCAGTCTTAAAACATGTTATTTCCTCACCAATGTTTCTAATTGAATCATATAAAAAGTTTCTAGAAATAAAAGAGAAGAAGCACAAACAAAACAGTAAACTTCAGGAGGTGCAGATGAAGAGGACTTTCAACCTTGGCGAAACTTCAGCAGAACAGCTGGCAGAGTAGGAACACCCACAACCTCTCCTGCTTTGAGCTGTGCATGAACCAGCTTGACCCTGCTGCTGCTTCTGTCCTCGGGTGGAATTCCCTGGTGTTAACATTCAAAACCTACCACAGCAGGATTAAAAGGGGCAGAGGAAGCAAGGACAGGCTTGCACCTAAAAGCAGTACAGGAGCAGGGCCCATCTAGCCTTGCTGGTTTGTTCCAGCCTGACTGATCTTTCCTGTGGCTGATGTTCACAGAAGCCAACCTAGCCTGACCATTCTCCTCTAGGAATAATCTCTGTCTCAAAGATTACCAAAGTGAGCACTTCCCACAGCTTCTTTCTGGAACAAGATAATAGCACTGGGGGATAATATGAAATCTGATGTTGAAAAGTCCACTGAACAGAAACATTCCATCAATAATAATGGAAAAGGTAAAAGGTAACCAACATTAACTATAATACAGAGAGATTGTTACCCTCTTTAGTATCACCTCTTATATGCTGCAAGGATTTTCTACCACCCTACCCAGACAGTGGGGTCAAACACACAGCAACCAAAGCAAGCAGAAAGCCCTTAGCTTTTCTAGAGTAGAAATGGAGCCCTTATACCACTGACTCTCAGGTGAAGGCAGTCAGAAAAACCAAGCTCCCAGCTGACAGAGGTTCCTGCTTAGTTCATTATCCACCTTTGCCTAATTTGTGGAGCTGGCAGCATCTCTCGTGCAGGCTCTGGAGCTGGGTTCTGCCATCTCAAATGGAGCTGGGTCACAGGTGCCTCAGCACTGGAGAAAGACACAGCTCTGTTTGAGATGGCAGAACTTAGCTCCAGAGCTTGCATGGGAGATGCTGTTACTCACCTCTTGCTATATCCTGAGCACCCCTTGCCCCAGACACCTCCCTGACTATGGGTGATGAAGGGGCTGCTGGGGGGGGAATGCAGGTGCCCATCTTGGGGGTACAGCAGAATGTTGCCTGCAGTGGTGTGAAGGCCCGGGCACAGCAAGGAGCTGAAGGGGACACTGTGAGTAGTGTCTGCCCTGCCTGCAGTGAGTTGAAGGTGTGAGGGACCTGGGACAGGTAAAGGACTGAGGGAGCTGAGCAGGGGAGAAACACCTCATTGCAGTGTCAGCCAGAAGCTGTGGATCTGGCAGAGGTGAACAGCAGGAGACACATCAGAGGCCAGGGGACAACGTGAAATGAGCTGCCACGGCCAAGGAGTGCCATCCCTGAAAAGTAAAGCTGGGAAGGTGTACTGTAGCCATCACTTGTACAGCTGAGCTGTCCCCAGGCCACAGCAACCCTGTGCTGCCCAAAACATTGGCTACTGCTGGGCACTGAAAGTGGCACTTTAATTTGGCCTTACAGGCTGTAGGATCAGGGGGGTGCTTGTTCCCTGTCTCCTACCGTGTGACCAAGGCAGTGTATCCAAGGGGGTGGCAGGGGCAGGGCTCTCCTGTTGTCCCACTGTGCACCTGGGAGACCCTGCTGGCAGAGCTATGGGGTGAGGATGGGCTGGTAGGCTGAGAAAGCCCCAGTTTAAAGATTGGCAGCTTAAATAACCAACCCTCAGGTAAGGACTGAAGAGAAGGAGAAAAATGGATCTGTGATTAGGTCTGATTGGTTTGAAAGTTTCCCTGTGCACATGTTCTTCAAAATTAAGCATTTCTGAATAGGCCTTGTGTATTCTGGGGGTGAGGGAGGGAAGAGAGGAGGGAAACCAGGTGGAAGAGAAAAATGCTTCAGCTGACAATGACTGAGAGGGAGAGAATTGCTCAGTAACATGCTATCCATCTACTGGGCAAGATTCATTATTCACGGCTCAGTCATCTGGTTCTAAATTTTAAATGTCATCTAAAGTGCTTTTTGAATTCATCAGTTTAAAAGATATTTACTAAGAAGCAAAACACTATGTTATTACTCAGAGGCACTGAGAGCTGCGGGACGGCAGGCAGTGTGCGGATGGCAGAGCAGGAAGTCCCATAACCTGGAAACCTCTTATTTTCTATTCAGAGGCAGCCAGTGCTTGTTGGCCCTTGAAGCTACCCATGGCTCCACAAGATGCTCATTCTTCCTAAAAAGCATCTCACAGATTTCACTCAGGCATGAGGGAAGAAGGACCACACCTTGTTTGCTGCCTCGCACCAACCTCGTACCAGTCACCGCCAGGACCAGCGGTGCACCAGCACCCAGGACAGCCCCACACACCCTGTCACATGGGGCACAAATTGATGATCAGGTTTTCACATGACCCCCCAGCACTCTCTTAAGCAATAATAAAATCTCAACCACAGTATGTGATTAGCAATTAGAAACCAGGCCTGAAAGCAGACACAGGCCTGGGAACGCTGACATTCCCCACAAACAGCGAGGCTGAGTCACAGGGTGCTGAGGTTTCCTGGGACATCACTCCCCTGCCTCCCCTTCACACAGCCTGGCACTGTGCCTTTTGCATAATCACTCCTGTACTAATGTCTTCAGCTCACATAGTCATTTCTCCACTAGCAAACCCACGCATATCCTCAAGGTATTTAAGCTACACACTGTGTGATGGTAATAGCTTTGTAATGGTCCTCATCTATCATCCATTTTAAATATCCCTTCTCGGCCCACTAACCCATCTCCAACGACTCCACTGCTCATCAGAAGCAAACATTGCTGAGAAGTTTCAGAGGCAGATTTGGGAAAAAAAAGGAGTGCAAGGAAAGAACCAAAATGAAAACTTCCTAGCCAGAGCTTCATAGCCTCTGGCCCATACTCGGGACCGTACGACTGAGGTGAAATTTGAGCTGACCCAGACCTGAGATGTAACATCTAGCTCAGAGAACAGCATCAGTAATTTTGTGGAAGTTACCTTATTCCTTTCCTATGTCCATGGAGATTGTCAAACAGAAAAAAAAAAAAAGAAGCTTTAAAGAGGTCTGGGCACAGTGAACACCATGTAGGAGAACTGGAAATAGTATCCTGGTGACTTTTTATCCATTTTGCTTACTTGTCTCTTCTGCTCCCACTCAAAGCCCACTGGCATAAAGAAGGACTCTCACAGACTTTGTATGACTCAGAAAAAACAAAGTTTTCTGTGGTTGGGCTTATTTCTTCCACTACCTAGAGATACAAAATTTCAGTTTTACTTTGGCTCTGGGTCAGCATAAAAGATGTTTCCAATTTTATTTGAATCACTTCACTCATGGAATAATAGAATTATAAGGATTATACAAAGCAATAATCCTCAGCATTCAATGGGATCAAAGCAGTATTCAAATATTAAGCAACACTCAGAGAAGATAGCTCAAGTATTATTATCCTCATTTTCCAGAGCAAGGATGGGAAGAAATTACTTTAGAGCATGGGATTTCTTCCCGGGGTGATTTATATTGGGAATCACATGCTCCAGGCCAGCTTGAGGACAGGATGCTGTGGTTAGAGCCTAGCCCCATGCCTGGCCCTATGCTCCCTCCTCACCTCCACAGCACTGCTCCTTAAAGCTCTTCCCACTGGACATTTACCAGCCCAACTGCCTTTTAAAATAATGAACAAAAATTAAATATCAGCAGCACAAAGCCTGTGGATCCTCTCTCATGTGGTCCCCCCAGCACGACCTTTACCCAGCCCTGAGCAGCCCAGCTAAGCCGTGTCCCCATGGCTGATGAGCCCATGCCATCACAGGGCCTGCAGTTCCCAGCGCAGAGCCAAAGGGTGGGAGGAGACATCACCCTCCCCTTTGCCAGCGAGGTCAGCAACGTGCCCCAGGTCAGGAATTCAGCTTCACCCTGCCACCAGGCCCCATGTTTTACACATAAGACCAAACCATGTGTCACTGGTTTAATGACTGGACACTCAGGCTTCCTCTCCAGCACACTGTGTGTGCCTAAGGCACTGCCAGGGCACCGCCTGTGCAAGGAGCACAGGCTGCTGCTGAGGAGCTGCACCTAAGGCTGATGAAGTAAACAAGTGGTGATCACAAGGAGCAGGGAGAAAATAGAAGCTGACCGTGGTGCTGCAGTGTGTTTACTTACAGCATCTTGAATAAACAAATTCCAGCAACCAGAAAGCAGGGACTCCAATTTTCCGCACTGAAGTGCACAAGATCACAGGCATTAAGGAAGATAAAGAAATATAGCTGAAAGCCAAATACAGGTTACAGTGGCTGGAGTTCATCGCTAGGAGATGAAATATTCCTTAAATGATGAAGACAATAATTCATGAGAATGAGACTCTCCAGTGAATTATGGGAGTCCTCTTCCAGCAAGTTAGAAGAAATATGATTCTAAAATGTAAACGCACTCATCCATCACTGATTCTGCTTAAACTGATTTATGGATATATACATATTTTACCATTTGTTATATTTTTATAAGCCTGACATTTTAGTTCACCTGTAGATGACACTGGAACATGAAATGTACCAAAAGCTTCCCTCCACCCCTCATGTATTACAGGATTAGAAAACATTTTTAAGCTTAAGGACCAATAGAGCTGACAAAAACATAACAAAAGGTACAAAGGAAACTTGAAGTTATTATGATACTTTGAGGATGGGAGAAGAGAAAGATACTGGTAAATTAACCTTGGAGCCCCATAAAAACTTTCTATGGCCAAATCCACGCAATAATCATTAAGAGAAGTTGATACAAAGGGCTCCAATTGAGCAAGGTATCTAAAAATCAAGTACCTAACTTTAAAAGCAGAATCATTCACTTCAGTGGTGAATATTCATGAGCATAAAAGTTACAGGATCTTGGTAGAC